TGAATAACTGTTATCATGACTAATCGCGACTGTCACACATTTAAAGGTAGAAGTTTTGTAACAAAAAAAGGGGAGTGGTTAATCTTACAGTCCAGAAACAGAGGACACTAGGACCATCAAGAAAGGAACGCACAAATAGAATGCAGGACCGTATCCAGAGAAGCAACAGCGCCAGAGATGGAGGCAGAGATGGGGGCAAGATGAGGGGGAGCGGCTGAGGACTCTAGATTCATCAACTAAGAAGAGAAGGACTAAGAGCTGGTGGCCAGGAGCAGAGTTGCAGAATGTACCCTTTGGAGATGTAAATTATTATATATGCCTGAGTGGGGGTGGGGTGGGGGAAGTGAGTCATTAAGATATCTCTTCCCAAAGATAGCACTTTTATGTTCTCACTTGTATTATATCATCAACTCATCTATACTTAACCTCTATTCTCATTAAGACTTCAGAAGTGCAGACTTACAACCTCAAACTCAAGGCTGTATAGGGAACAGGGAAAAATAAGATCTGACAATTTACCAAACAGGATATGCAAATGGCCAACAAGCACCTCAAAAGATGCTCAAAGTTATTAGCCATTAAATTCCACCATTGATGAGTCAATTATGGCTCATAGTTACCCATTAGCCATTGTTGTTAAGTGCCCTGGAATTGGCTAAGACTCAGAGAGACCCTGTGTAGGGTTTTTGGGAATGGGCTGGTGGATTTGAACTACCAACCTTGTAGTTTAGCAGTCCAGTGTTTATGCTACAGTGCCACACTTGGAGTGCCATGAGTCAGCAATTCAAACCCACAAGCTGTCCATGGAAATCCTATGCAAGGTCATTATGAGTAGGAACTGATTAGATGGCAATAACAACAACAAATACAGATAGCACAGGTCAAGCCAATAAGACGCTCCTTGGAAACCCTATACAGAGATGCTATGCATTGGGAATGAGTTCACAGCACATAAAAATCTTAATAGATTTTTTCAAAAGACACAGGGGATTATTAAGTTTTTACTTATTATTTTAAAACTTTTTAAGGTTTTTATAGTAGATTGAGTGAAAGTTTACAGGTCAGATCATCAGTTTTATAGTCAACAAATCATATACCTTGTTTAATTACAATGATTATAATCCCCTTCATGTACCCTCAGTTAACAGTATTTCTCTCTATTCACTTTAACATTTTGAAACAAAACAAAACAAACATAAAACTCTTTCCATGAATCTAGTCCTCAGCCACTCCCCCTCTCCATGCCCCCATCTCTGGCGTTGCTGCTTCTCTGGATAAGGTCCTGCATTCTGCTTGTGCACTTCTCCCTTGATGGACCTAGGGTCCTTTCTTTCTGGACTGTAAGTTTAACCACTCCCCTGCTTTTGTTACAAAACTTCTACCTTTACAATTGTGACAGTCGCAA